TGTGAATAAATGTTGAAAAATTACAAACCTGAAGTTAAACTAGCATAATGTCTTATTCTTGAGGCATGTGAATAAAAACTCTACACTTTACTCCAGTTAGGGATTCGAGGTGGCTTTAATGTGGCTGACGGTGGAAGAGACCTACTTGGGCAGTGTCTCCTTCACCCGTCCATGGACCTCTCCTCTCTAATCCCCCACTCCTCACTGAAAACAGGATAAAACCTAAAATATTGTTATTAGGATCATCATCACTAATGACTAGAAACCATTCTTTACCTCCCTGGCCAAATGGGGTAAAGGCAACATTCCATATTAAAGTTATGGCAATAAGAAAACCACATGTTTTCTTAGGCACGTTGTCTCACTACCTTGGAAAAGAGACTGAAAAAAAAAATTGGGGACAAGATTGCAAAGTAGCAAAGGGTAAGTAAGATCATGAATTTGGACTGTAAATTTATAAGATTATACTGAATCAGTAAGATCTAGAATTTGGGGATAGTAAATAAACAAAAGACCAACCCAATGGAAAAAACCCAGGCTGGACACAGGGGAACTTAATCTCTTGGAGCTTTGTAAATGGGCCTGAGTTGTGAATGATGTGGTAGCTTGTTGCTGTAATTGTATTCAGTGCCCCTTAATGCCACTAGACAGGAACAAACCCACCAAGGGGATGAGCACATATAAAAGGAAGGGGTTCTAACTGCCTTTGCAATGTGTTTGAGCTCACAATGTGTATCTCATGAATCACTAGTGTGCTAAACTAATGCAATTTTGTGCTATCCCAATAGATATTCAGTGTCAAATTTGGGCTTTTCATCTGTTCTGAGCCCAGAGATAATTTTGTGAGTGTTAACAGTATTATTTTTTCTAATGATTAAGTTGCTAAGCCATAATGATTTTAAATGGTTTCTATTTTACAGTTAAATGTAGTTCTATTTCACAAATTACATTTTCAAATGAGAAAATTTCTCCCTGGTTCCTAAAGTTGTAAAAAGTAGTTAAATAATTCAACTCTTTTGGCAGGAAGTTAAATAGTCTTACTTCTTTATGTGGGATGTAGTTATAGTAGAAATAACAATTAAATTAAAAGAACCAAATGCTACTTTTCATAGGTGGTCTTTGCAATTTGCCTGTTTAATTGGTTCATTTTAAGTGCTATCCTTTCAGCTATTTCAAGATTGCACATGCTGTTTAACCTTAGATGTAATGCTTTCAAAATAAATCAGACTGGGGGGCTGGGCACGGCTCACACCTCTGATCCTAGCACTTTGGAAGACCAAGGCAGGAAGATTTGTTTAGGCCCAGGAGTTCACGATCAGCCCAAGCAAGAGCAAGACCCCGTCTCTACAAAAAATAGAAAAATTTGTTGGGCACGGTGGCACATGCCTGTAGTCCCAGCTACTTGGAAGACTGAGGCAGGCGGATCACTTGAGCCCGGGAGATTGAGGTTGCAGTGAGCTATGATGACACTACTGCACACTACCCTGGGAGACAGAGAAAGACCATGCCTCAAAAAAATAAATAAATAAAATAAAATAAATCAGATTGGATTGACCAAGGGAGATGTAGTGGGTTAATAGTAACCTCAAAAATATATATCAAAGTCCTAGCCCCCTGTACCCACGAATGTGGCCTTATTTAGAAATAGGGTCTTTGCAGATGTAATTGAGCTAAGGATTTTGAGATGAGATCATTCTGGATTTAGGATAAGCCTTAAATCTAATGACAAGTATCCTTATAAGAGACAGGAAAAGAGAAGACACAGAGACACAAGACAAGTCCATGTGAAGACAGGGATAGGGACTGGGGTTATGTAGCCACAAGCCAGAGCCCACCTAAAGTCTCTAGAAGTTGAAAGAGGCAAAGAACGATTTTCCCTTCTGAGGCAGCATGGTCCTGTCTACACTCTGATCTCAGAATTTTGGTCCCCACAACTGGGAGAGGACAAATCTCTTTTGTTTTAAGCCATCCAGTCTATAGCATTTGTTACAGCAGCCCCAGAAAACTAATACTGAGGGCATCATAGAAATATAATACCTCAATGCCTCTTTGAAGAATGGGAGGAAATTCAGCAGGAAAAAGGGAACTAGAAAAGATATTTAAGTTTGAAAACCCAAGGCATTCAGAGATAAATTTCTATTTTGAATAAATTGGTCCTGTTTACTCAAGCAAGTGGTCAAGTATAGACTGGAAAAATAATTGCAGTAGAGGAGAGCAATGATCACCAGCCTAAGAAAAATAGGCTTTGTTGACTAATAATAGTACTTGGTATATATGTTTTGTTTCAGAGTTTACAAAGGCTCTTCACATATCATTTCATTTAAATCCCACAGCAAACTTATGAATTAGGCAGCAAGGGTTTATTGCATTTATTTTATAGGTAGTAATAGATTCACCAGTTGTTAAGTAACCTGCTCAAAGCTGCACAGCACATAAGTGGTATGTGTATATATATATATATATATATATATATATATATATATATATAATTTTTTACTTCAAATCCAATGTTCTGTCCAATGCATCTTCATGATTTTAGTAAATGATAAGGAGATAAAAGGTCTGATTATGAGATCACAATGGCACGATAAGAATATTAATTTGGATAAGAGTTTATAATTAGGGAGCCCTCATAGCCAGCATCTTTATAATGGTCAGATATGAAATAATAAGGGTCTACATAAAGGTGGTGTCAGTGCAGGTAAATGAGGAGCACATGAGGGAAGTATTGTTGAGAAAGTGTCCACATATTTTAAACAGTGCGCACTTGAAAAATTTTGTCATATTTCCTTAAATCCTTCTCTACTTTGAATTTTATTTCACATTAATTGCATTAATGTATACTGAAATATATTATGCTTCTTTCTGCTTATCCATTTAACATAATTTTCTAGGCAATTTGGTATATCTGGGTTTTTTTTCCACAAAAGAAGTAGCAACAACTGCTAACCTCAACTTTGTATTAGGATGCAAAGTTAGTCTATATGAAATCTAACAAAAAGATTTTAGAATTAAAATTAGTAGGATACACACACACACACACACATTTGGATCAATCATTTAAACATATTATACCTATATGAGCTCAGATAAAACACCTTGATGACACAAACCATGTATGTTGAAAGAGACTATAAGAAACCATTATTGGCCTGACAAAGTGAGGAAGCAGATAGACTAAGACTGAACCTTGAAATTTGAAAAATCTACTTTCTTATACAATGACTATTTAAAACATTTAGATTGCATACACCTTGAAAGCTAAAAAAAAAAAAAAAAAGTTAACATTGAAAGCCATGATTATCCATGACAAAAATTATCCATGTCAAATTGGATATGCATCCCTTATTGCATGACTTTAGAAACTGTTTTTAACTGAACTCTTGTCCTTCAAGATAAACTAGAGAAAAAAAATGTTTAGGATACTTTCCAAGTTATATTTCATACTTAGAGATTCATAATGTATATCAGAATATTAAGACTGAAATAGAAACCACAAGAAAGAAACTAGCTTAACTTTCATGCCCCCATCATTTTTTAAATTTATTTCACCTGGGATTTTTTTGAGGTTGGAAAACAGAGAAGGAAGTAGCTATTTCTTTTTCATTATCCATGGGACTAGAGCTCCATATAATACTGTTCTAACATGTTTAGTCAACATGCCCTCTGTGGAATAATCATTTTTCTTTGTACATGCAGTAGTCATTAGGTGCATTACATGAAACAAGTCAAATAACTGTCAATATGTGCCAACCTTGTCAACTGAACTGGAATCATTACTTTTATCAAGAAATATAAAATTATGCACAGAAATTTAAAAAGCAGAAAGATGAAAAAAGAAGAGAAAAAAAATGCTGATTTAAAAAATGTATTTGGAAACAATTTTATTTTTCAGTATTATACCAACTATGTTCTTGGAGAGTATCACCTGGATTCTTAGCACTGAAGCATTAAAATACATAAAACAATATTGCAGACATATATATTTCAAGGTGCAGGCAAAGAAGATTGTGAGGCTTCAGGATCTACTTGCAAACTCTTTCATAGCTGCTAATTTCAGAAGAAAGTGCTATAGGCAGTAAACACAACTATAGCACAGTCACTGGTCCATAACTCTCTGGAGCCAAAACAATAGACCCCAGAAGTTGCATTAAGGGAAGAGGCTCCCAGTGATGAATCAGAATGGAAGACACTGACACTGTGCCTTGTGTCACAGTTCGTGCAGCAAAACTGCAAAACCAAGGTTCCATGCAAGTTACAGGTCCCTTAAGAGCCCAACAGCAAATTCCCAGAGAAAGATAAGGTATGACAGGAAGAACAAAGTCCTGGAGTTTGATGTCACCTTCTGCCTGGGGACACCTATATCCTTTCCCTCATTAAAAAAAAAAAAAAAAAAGTGTGCTTCTGCCTAAGGACCTTTCTTTTCAACATGCATACTAATTGACTGAAAAATCACTTTCTCTATCTTTAAGTAGCAATATTTCCTAACAAGAAATTTGCTTAATTTTGCAGAAGAATTAAAGCATTTCCAACAAATAATAAGAAACTTATACTGTATTTTCAAAGAGTGGGTAGTGCTAAGCTATTAGACTCACGCACCTTTGATATCTCTCAAGGGACTGCTCTTTTTGCAACAGCTTTATTAGTTTGCTCCCTGTGTGAGTCACTGCCAAGCCAGTCAAACTAACACTTCATCTTGTCCACAGTATCCAAACCACATCAGTGATTTATAAGAAAAAGCATGTAAATTTCTTTCTAGAGACAGTAAGTGATCAATTGAAATATATAGAATGTGGTCATGAGACAGTCTCCACATAAGTTTCAGTGTGTTTAATCAAATCTGTCTCTTTACCCACAGAAAAAATGTGTGTTGGGAGAGCACAGCAGACACACCTGAAGGTCCAGTCGCCACTTGATCACATCCAACTGGATGTTCAGCCAATGCCTCAAATGCGGTAAGCTCCAAACAAAAATCATTACCTGTAGCCCACCCCATTTACCTTTTGACTGTGTTCCCCCTCTTGGTGACAGACATCACTATCCACACACTCTTCCAGGATAGCAATGTCAAAGCCATCTTTGAGGACCAGTTCTTTCGGAGCTCACCTACAGCATCCAGCATCACTGGTGTCTCTGATTATCAGGTAAAAAGAACTCTTGAAACCTTCCCAGGATGCTTTTTTATTTATACTAAAAAAAAAACCAAAAAACAAAAAAACACCTAAATTCATCACATGGCATTCAAAATACCCAACGTAGAGATTCTTGATTGAGACTTTGTCTTCCTTCCTTAATATTCACCTGCAGTAATACTTTTAGAGCCACACTGACTGCAGAGTACGGTAAGCACTGTTGGAGTCACGCTGGACCTCACTGTTTTCTGAACACATTGGGAGCTTTCGTGCCACCACAGTTTGGGGCTTACTGTTGGATCTTTGGGAAGATCCACCCACCTTTTGCTCCCTTCACCTTAGCCCACCCAACATCACTATTTCTCCCTTCACCTAACTGAGCCTCGTGATCTCATTTATTCTTTAAGAATCAGGTCAAATTATTTTCTTTGGAAAACTCTCTTTTAAGTCTCCACCCCAGAGCAAAATTGACTCTACTAGCTCTATAGATCCACAGCACTTTAAATCTGCTTCTCTTTTATGGTACATATTTCATGTTAACTGGTTATTTATATACCTGCTTCCCTACTGCATTAGAAACTTCATGAAAGAGAGACATTGTCCAATTATGATCATATGTTCAATAAATATTCGTTGGATGAATGAATAATTAACTGAACAATTGGTTTAAACTGTAAAGTTATTCTAGTGCCCCCTGATTTTAAATGTGTAAATTACATCTCCAAGTTACTGGAAACTCCCTTTTCAGTATGTCCTGAGGTCACTTTATGCATTTCTTCTCGGGAGATATGCAAATTTAGGGGATAAAATGAGAAAATAAAGCCATCAAATAAGAAATAAAAGAAGGAAAGGAGTAGGAGGAGGATCTAATCATAATTCTAAACCATCAATTTTCCCCATGACCCTGAGGAGACCAGTCAGCAGCTTTGAAAAATCACTCACTTGATAGATTCTGCTCAGAAATAAGTTCTCAGGGGAAAAAAAAGAATCAGAAAACTAGTCTAAAATGCCAAAGGTTTTTGGCGTTGTGCAATTGGTTTATTTGGCATTCGAATGTCACATCTCACTTTGAAAGGCCCGAACTATCCATCAGAACATTACGCAGCTCAGTCAGCTGCATTTGCTCGTAAATGTATTTTGCATTTTCAATTACACATGGATATGGGCAGCCTCGAAGAATTTCACTGAGAGCCACTCATATAAAACACAGCCTCAACATGTTAATTTAACAGCACATATGGAACACTGGAGCTTGGCAGACTTAACTTCGAATCAGAGAAGAATTTGATCAGCCAGCCTGTCTGACCCTTCGTATTACAGAATGTAGATAATAAAATAATTTAATGATCCATCAAGATTATGCTGCAGGCTCTTGTGCAAGTCATATAGATATTTCCATTTTTATGCTTAAGATTTATGTGACTGTCTTCGTCTTCTCACCCTTATCTCACGTTAGAAAAAGAGTAGAATTTGTCTTGTAGGCTGGATTCTTTGAGACACCTGGCACTACACTCTTCGCTGAGGCCTTTCACAGAATGATAGTCTCACTAGTTGCTCTCAGATAAAACAGTTCCATAGTTCTGAAATATATATATATGTATATATAGATATACATACATACGTGTATATATAGACACATATGTGTATATGTTAATATGTATGTATATATGGATATACATACATATGGTATGTATATACCAATTGTAAATACATACACACACACTAATAGTATGTCCCTCTAGCACAGATTCATAGCACACTGTAACAATATTAAAAGTCTGAGAGGACTAAGGAAATAAATCTTATTAAATTAACTGGGTCTGCATCAATCCAAGAATGGATTAATAAAATGTGGTATATGTATACCATGGAGTACTATTCAGCTCTAAGAAACAATGATGATATAGCACATCTTATATTTTGCTGGTTAGAGCTGGAACCCATACTACTAAGTGAAGTATCCCAAGAATGGAAAAACAAGCACCAGATATATTCTCCAGCAAACTGGTATTAACTGAGTAGCACCTAAGTGGACACATAGGTACTACAGTAATAGGGTATTGGGCAGGTGGGAGGGGGGAGGGGGGCGGGTATATACATACATAATGAGTGAGATGTGCACCATCTGGGGGATGGTCATGATGGAGACTCAGACTTTTGGGGGGAGGGGGGGAAATGGGCATTTATTGAAACCTTAAAATCTGTACCCCCATAATATGCCAAAAGAAAAAAAAAAGAGAAGGGAAACTGTTACTTGACTGTTATGTAACCTGTCATGTGATCTGTTATGTAACACCAACCTGTCAATCACCCCCAAAGGCGGGAAATGGCAACCAATCCTGTGCGGAGAAAGGCGGGACAAACTAGTGAGCTTATAAAAGGCAGTGTGTGCTCAACCTTCAGTGTCTTCCTCCACTTGGGGAGACTGACCTGTTCCATTCTTTCTGGAATGCATTTTCACTTTGTGTAGCTTTCTTCTGTACTTTCATTCTTTCTTTTATGTGATAAACTATTTGTATAAAAAAATAAAAATAAAAAAAATAAATTAACTGGGTCTGAATTACTCAAACATATGCCCTACCACACCCTTTTGTCCCTACCACTGTTAATGTCACATAAAACAAGATGTTAGCAGAATTTTATAAACAAAATACAGGACCCCAGTGACATTTGAAGTTCAGATAAACAATAAAAGTTTTTTAGGATAAGTATGTCCCAAATGGGATATGCCTATACTAAAACAATTATTCAATAAAACCAAAGCCAGCACCAGTGAGAACTTGACACAGCAGAAGGATGGAAAGATCTTGTGAAGATATCCTGAGGTGATCAAGAGAACAAGTGCTGGATTATGAGATCGGAGGTAAAATAGTAGGATTGTCAACTAGAACAGCCTAACAGTTTTCAGGGGCCCATTTGCTTGCCGGCTGAGCCTTGCTCCTTTTAAATGAGAGCTAATTATTTACATCTCAGTTTTTGTCTAGAAATATTTTCCCTGAGGTTTAAAAAATAATGCCTCCTAGAAAGATAGACCCTTAAACATTGTGCAAAATTCCCGTATATGTTAGAATTCATTCCCAAATGAATTCTTTCCTATATGTTCTGTTTCCTAAAACAAGGTTTCTTTGATGGGCAGATGGAAATAGAAACCTGGTTCAGATTCACCCAACACTTTTAGAGTGCTGTAGAGAGTACTCTGTAATATAGAGTACTATAGGCAGATTTTTATGTCTTTATCTTTCATTCTTACAGCCACATTAGGAAGGATGGCAGACACAGGCTAGCTGTTTGCCAAACCTATTTCCTCTTCTTTTTTTGCCCACATCTCAACCACTTGAACCAAACTCCTTCCTCGTAAGCACGGACACGTGACTGGAAACTTGGCAGTGAGATGTGAGCAGAAGCCAAGGGGGGCACGTGCAAGGTGACTCTCAAAAACCTCCCATGTGTAATTCCCTTGCCCTTATACAACCACCCTGGTAGTGTGTGTCGAAGCTAGAAGAGGCACAAGATAGAAAGTGCCTATGTCCCCAAATCACCTTTTGAATGAAGGCTACCCACCAACCAGAACACCCACCCAAGACTTGACATGAGCAGAAAGTTTCCATTGTGTTAAGCCACTGAGACAACACTATTTATCTTTCTGTTGGTGTTGTTGTTATTGTAACAACTTGGTGCGTTAGCTTTATATATATGGAGGTTCACACAATTGTAACAAGTGGTAGAGTCAGTTTTGTTTTGTTTTTTTATTTTGGCATATTATGGGGGTACAAATTTTAAGGTTTCAAAAAGTGCTCCTCCCCCCCAAGTCTGAGCTTCCAGAGTCAGTTTTATTTATTGCATATTTTCCCTTAACAGCAAGAGCATTTCCAGATCCTTAGTATGATTTTACCCTATAGAAATTGTCATAATTTAACCACTCTACTATTGGCAAACACTTATGTTTTTTTCCAATTTTTGATATAATAAAAAGCATATGATGAAATACCTCAAGATAACTAATTATGTACATTTATGATTAGTTCCTATGAATTAAATTCATAGGAATAGAATTAATGGGACAAGTACATAAACTGTCTCTCTCACACAAGTGATAGCAATGCCTAGAATCCAAAGTGCAGTTTCTTTCTATTACTGGAAATTTACTCAACATATCTTTTATATTAATGTGCCTCACCTGAGCTATACTTGAAGTTAGCATTACCATTCTCATTTTATACAGGAGGGGACAGGCTGAAAGATCAAACAATTTAACTTACTGTCAATGTCATAGAACTGAATTCAAAACCAGATCCTCTGACTCCAAGTCCAGTGATTTTTCTAAAACAATGTTTTCCCTCTTCTAAAATTTCTGATTTCCAAAAGAATTTCACATACATATATGCTTGGCAGACCATTTTCAGGCGTTTCTTTAAAAAGAAAAACATTTTTTCAAACTCATTCCAGAATCATATGCTGAGACAGGGGAAGAGCCAATGAATTAATATCTTGGCAACAGCTAACAAAGAGATTGAGGTTTTTCCTCTTATTTTAATCAAATCAATTTAAAAATAAATGCAACCCTTAATCCTAGGATTTATAATTGTAACTTTTGTCGATGGAGTAATCTTTAGGGCAAAGTTGCTTCACTTTCTAGTGAGTTTTATTTCCATATTTCTTCACTTACTGTGGAAAAGGAAAGATGTACACATTATTGAATCTGTTAAATTACCCAGTTTGTGCTACTTTGTAATGGTAATCCCAGCAAACTAAACCAGATAGATCTGGCAGTGCTGAGCAGAGAGGATGAGGAAGAACAGAGACACTGAGGTCAGATAGGGGTTTATTACAGCACCCTATAAGGCAGTGACTGCCCACAGTACATAAGGATAGAGGAAATGTTAGGAAAATAATCAAAAGAATTGTTACTGTTGCTAAAAAAAAAAAAAGAAAGAAAAAAAAAAGAAAAGGAAGAATAGCTCTTGTTGTTTAACTAAATATGTGAAGTTAGGGGAAAAGAGGAGAAAAACTGATAACAGGATTTCAATTCTAGAGGACTTGGAGGATGGTGGCACCACTAACCAAGAGGCAAAATTTATGCACCTTATGTGTTCCTAAGAATACTTACATTATCATTTTTTAAAAAATATGTTTAATGGAGGCAAAAGGTGGCTTAGGTGCTAGAGTTTCAGACCCAAAATTATAATGAAATTATAATGCCTATTTTTAAATGAAGAAATTTTAATAGTAAACTTTTTCTGGTAGTAAGTACATAGCAATGAAATCTACACATCACTAGACAAATCTTGTCCTGACATTCCGTTCTTGATCAACAGTAATTACTTGTCTTTCTTACAGATACCAGGACTATCATGAACCTAATTCTTACATATTCTCATTACCCTTATCATCTAGTCTTATAATAAGGCACAGAATAACACAAAGCAATTATGTCCGCTTATAGTAGCTTTTTTTTTTTTACCTGTGCTAATAGGTTCTGGCTCCCAATCACAATTGTTTTATAATATGAAGTGTGCAAGACAAATCATGTCTAATTCATAGAATAGAGTATATTATAATCAATTTCAGCTTTCAGAATTTCTTTGAATGTTATTCCAAGACATCTCTCTCAGGCTATGTCCCAATGTACCAACTCTTCATTCTTACATTAGACCAAATCTCAACACATCCCCTTGCATCTTACAATCTTCAGGTTTGTCAGAATTAAAGTCCAAAGGTAGGGTATACTTTCAGCTTTCACTGTAGTTTTATTATAAGCAAGCATCATATAAGGAAAATGGTAGAATATCCACCATTTACAGAGAACTTGCATGATGCAGCTCCTTGGCACACACATATATGCACAGGAGTGGAAAGGTAAAGCATTTGGAAGTAAATGGTGAAGCCCTAAAGAGAACATAGAGAAGAAAATGGTGAAGAACCAGTGGATTTGCTCTATGTAACCCAACTATGAGCTTCATGACAGCAGGAAGAATAATGGCTTTGTTTGCCACTGCATAACCAGCACTTAGCACAGAAGCTAAAGCATTAGAGGTACTATTTAGGGGAGAGAGGGAGAGAAAGAAGGCAGGAGGGAGGGAGGGAGAAATTTGGTTTTGAGCTGAAGAAGACAGTGTCCTGAAGACAATGGCCAAAAGACTTCAGCTTGGGACAATGAAAAGTTCTGGAAATGGATAGCATCATGATATTGTGAATGTACGTAATGCCACTGAATTGTATGTACACTTAAAAGTAGTTTAAATGGGCAAGACGCAGTGCTAAGATGCCTGCAATCTTAGCACTTTGGAAGGCTGTGGCAGGAGAATTGCTTGAGGCCAGAAGTTCAAAACCAGCCTGAGCAAGAGAAAAACCCTGTCTCTGCAAAAAATAGAAAAATTAGCTGAGCATGGTAGCACGTGCTTGTAGTACCAGCTATTCAGGAGACTGAGGCAGAAGGATTGCTTGAGCCCAGGAGTTTGAGATTGCAGTGAGCTGTGATGATGCCACTGCACTCTAGCCCAGGTAAAAGAGTGAGACCCTATCTCCAGGAAGAAAAAGAAAGAAGAGAATTAAAATGGTAGCATTCATGTTATATATATTTTACCACAATAAAAACATTTCAAATCAAATTTAAGTTGTTTTCATCACTGGAGTATGAATGTTCTCTGGGTCCCCAAACTTTCAACAAAGTCTGTTTGACACACAAGTGCCTTGTGTAAGTAGATCTTAGTGAAAACCAACAAAAGGAAGTCATGTTAAATGTTTGAATCCCTGTAGTCTGAATAGAAACGGACCATAAAATAGGAAGAAAATCCATAAAATGAACCTAATTCTTCTAAAGTAGAAGCTCAGAGCCAGAGAAGATGAGAAAAAAGTTAGACATTTTCCCCCAACCTTTCACTGACGATTCCTCGGTGATATTTGGAGCGGCCAGGGCTTCCACCAAACTGGGAAATGAGGTAGAGAGTTAATTTCATTTCAATAGTAAATGACAGGATGGCTCAGCTGGTACCTGGGTTTCACAAATATTATCTCAGTTTATTCCTGAAAACAGAGGCCTGAGATACTATCATTATCTCTGCTTCACACACAGATGAGCTGAGTAAGGCTTAGAAATGTTAACGAACCTGCACCCAAGTGGCAGAACCAGAAAAAGTTATACTCCTTCCCTGCAGCTATGAGATACCAGATACAAATTGCATTTCCAAGCCCCAAATGAAGAAGAGAAAGAAATCATCACTGCCCTATCTTTTAAAACACTGTTCTCAAAGACAAACTTGGAAACTTTATAATTTATTATGTAATAAGGCAAAGAATGGAAAGAACTCTCAAAGTTCAAGTACAAACAGAATAGCTCTAATAGCAAAAAAGACGATTCCCCAAACAGAAATGAAGGAAAGGAAATAGCTTGGCAAGATAGCTACAACATTCTTGAATGTTCACACTATCACAATAAATAGCCCGAGCAAAAGCTTATTCATATCCAACCATAAAGTCTATGTTATTATATATTATTAATACAGAAACTTTATCTATTAGATCCGATTAGTCATCTAAACAAAAGGAAAGAGAAGGAATCTTTGTCCTCATATTTTGAATTGAAACCTAGAAAGCTGAAGAGTAAAAAACAAAAACATTTTTTGAAAAGTCCATCAATCTCTGGAAAACTCTTGAATTTTCAAAATCATATGTGAAGTGACTGAAATAAATAAAAAATGACAGTCATGTAAACAACAGTGCTGCAAGGGCCATGTAGAGTTTCCCTAGTGACTTGTATTTGAAAATAAACCAGAGCATTTCTGAAAGCCAGAGTATGTCTTTCAAAAAGAAAGAGCATGGAACTAATGCATGCCTTGCTTTGACGAGATATTCCTATGAGCCACGCATACAAGCATGATCTACTGAGGGATCCCAAGAGTAGAGTCAGCAATAGGAAAAATTAAAGGTATTCCATCTATACAGAAATCATTGATATATTTTGCCTCTGAAAAACCATCAGTGAAATAAGAAAACCATTTTGCACTGACAACAGAGACCAATGATCAGAGTCTCCACAAGGCACCAGGACCTCCCATTATGAGAAAAGGCACCCACTGCTTATGGCACATGCACTTCATGTCTCCATTTTCTGTAATAATCATCTGATTCTGTTTCTCCTTGAGCAACTCTGAAAAGTAAATAGAGCTGTCTTTCTGGACATAACAGATGATAAGGGCAAAAGCAAACCAATCTTCACTTACTAAAAAAAGGCAAAAGGAGTTAGCACATCAACCTCCAACCCATCCCCCAACCCAATTAATGGTTTATTTAGTACATGGGTTCCAGGGGACAGAAGCCAAGAAATAAGGCTCTGTGTATGAAAATAAACAAACATGTTTTTAAGTTTCTTTTTAAGTTCCTCCTGCCCAGATTTACTAAAACACAGAGCTTTAATTTACTCAGAGCTCTGAGTCTACCAATCAATTGGTATCTGCAATAGCAGAAGTCTACCAATCTGCTGCAGCGAGTGAGGGGAGTATAAAGCTGGAACCACCCTTTCGATGAGATGAATCTTGGGGCCTGGAAACCAACTTCTCTTCCTTTCTCCTTCTCTCTTCATCCCAGCTGATCACAGGGGGATCTCTGACAAAGGTTTCCACTGTGGTTCTCTGGGTAAGACCCTGAACCTCTACCTGATGCCGCTGCCCCATTCACTGATGTACCTGGTTTTCCTGCATGAAAGTTATTTCATGAGCCCCTGAAAATCGGGAAAAATATAGAGGACAAGTCACTCCAAGAAATCTCACAGCCCTTACTTCACCACAGGCTGGCGACTCTCTCTCTCTCTGAATAAGCGAAATATAAAATAATCCCTCGTGAGGTCTCGCAGCACAATGACTAAGCCCATACTCTAGGCTTAGAAAAGAAAATCAGTCCCTGCTCAGCAAGGATGATTCACAGACAGCAAAAACCCTTGTAAATAAAGAACTCTGTTGAGACATACATTTGCTTGCAATGCCATTGGATGCAGGTTTATTGAGAAATACATAGTGAGACAAGGTCCCTTTTTCAGAGACACAAAAACAGAAGCAAGGCAGCAAGGCAGCAAGGTCAAAACATGTCAGAAACATGAAAGACTGGGGCATGGGTAGTAAAGCTTCTGGAAATATCCAGAGGTATACACAGCACCAGTGGTCAACCCATAAAACAAGCTTGGTGCTGGCCAGAAAAGCTTTGGAGTGCCAAAGGCAGCGTGTGCATGGCTAGGAGCCGGCAGTCAGACAGTCAGCATAGAGGTCAGCGATGAAGAGTTCTTCGGAGGTAGGCAGCATGCTGGAAGACCCTGGAAGCACAGCTGGCAGGTCACGGAGTCTTGGTTCTCTCACTGGCTCCTGCACACTTAGCAGGTTCTTCGGCAGCTAGACACACAGGACTGTATCCTGGAGACCCCACAGGCAGGTTGGCAGACAGTAGTGACTCCTCCCACTGGTTGGCACACAGTGGAGACTCCTCCTACTGGTTGGCACACAGTAGAGACTCCTCCCACTGGTTGGCACACAGTAGAGACGCCTGCAAGGGGCCGACAGCCACTGGTGACAAAGTTGAGCGGCCGGCTGTAGGCAGTTGAGCAGGGATTGGAGACACAGGTGGTTTGTCGAGAGCAAGTCACCTGGCATGGGTTGGAGACGCAAGAGGTTCGCTGGTAGCAGGTTGGCTGGCAAACAGTGGGCTCGCAAGACTCCTGGCAGTGGTTCAGGAGCCAAGAGCCAGTCTGGAAGGAACTGGGCAAATAGATGCCACTCAGGCAGTCAGCTTCGGTGGTTGCAGCTGTGGCAACTGGAGCCACTGGGACAGTGCAGCGTCCACCCACTGGCCTGGAAGAGCAATTTCTTGTGGAGCAGTTGAAGGACATGATGTCGGACAGAGGGCTGTAGGTACCTTGCTGAAGTTACCGTCTGAATGATGAATGCCACTTCAGGCTCCTGAGCTTTTATATATCCTTGCTGGTGGGTGGTGCTGTCTCCCCAATCTCCCTGGCTTCTTTGGCACAGACCAGCTTGCCTTAGAACATCTTGTGAATCTACAGATTAATTGTCTCTTGAGAAGCCTTCACCCTCATAAAGAAAGTTTAGTAGTTTGGTAGCTAAATCACAGGTCTTAAGTACTATACTTAGTCTATTAAGAAGGTTGCTTGACAGCTTCAAAGCCATTGGTCATACCAGCCCACACTTCGTCCGTCCTTCATCTTGCTTGCCCACGATGAGTGTCAATTTGACTGTAACACCAAACATGCCACCATCCTACCATCACACATTCTCCCCTCCCAACCAGGACTAATTACAAGCCCAGACGCTGTTTGGTTTGTCATTGGACTTAATGCATCTTAAACAGAACTTAACCAGTACTCTTCCATAGCTAACGGTAAGATGCTTCAAGATGACAAGTGACAATACCTGCCAGAAAAAGCGACGCAAAGACTCATCTGCGGAATCCAAGCTGGCTCTCCAAATTAATCAACCAGCTGAACAAGATGCCCACAGGAAGGTCATAGTGCAGTGGGACCCAGCCTCACCCTTTATGTTCAAGCAATGAAGCAAATTAGAAGCTAATTAAGTGCAACTGCATTTATTTAGCCAATTTCTAAATAAGTTGACGAGTTTTATTCCTAAAATTTTTCATTTAGTAGCAATGGATAATAGTGACTTCTGAGCCTCATTAATATACCAGTAGAACAGTCTGAGTTCATTTTTTTTATTAATATAATGTTAATTTGAAAGGATACAATGTCTTTTTCCCCAATTTGCTCAGTATATTCAAAAGATATTTATTTTCACACACATACTTATAGACAGGATGCATTTCCAATCATGGGCACACTAAAGGCCCTTCAAGGTCTTTGGCTCCATTAAAGATAAGGGGAGAGGAAGGTGGGAGGAAGCAGGCGCTTAATCAATGTTTGGTAATGAATGGATGAATGAAGAGAGTGCTATAATATTTAATTATTCTTTTTATGCTTGGGGAAACTAGGATACCATTCTCCTTTGTTTTATCTCACTGCTATATAATCAGTTCTGAACACCAAATGACTGCTCCTTTTGGCCCACCTGTACATGGGTAAATCGATAGCTTCAGCTCTGGCAAAATAAGTCACTTCAGCATCACTTTAAGTGGTCAGTGCTATTTCTGCCTCCTAGGAGCTGACTCATTCTGTAAGCTGGCTTACATGGGGGAGCTGCGGGGGACAATAAGGGATTTATGTGTATTTGAGGGCTACAGGTAGGCTATGTTTTAAATATCCACAAAGCAAACAGCTTTACATCAGAACTCATCAGAATTCCCCTTACTAAAGCTTCATTCATCTGGCTGGAAGCTGATGACACGCCCAGACAAGAGGATGCTGTGCTGTGGGCTGTCTTATAGTTCCCAGGGATCAGACCTCAACCTTCCAACTCTCCCTCAGTGACTCACAATGTATTCTCAGGAATAGGGTGAAATTAATGAGATGACTACTTTCTGCAGAGTTGTGGTAATGCTTCTTCCCACAGCAGAGGATGTCCCAGGTGGTGTTTGAAGGCCAGAGTCCCTGGTCACAGGGCCTGGTTGGCTTCCTTTAAAATGAATGGGTGGTTTACAGGCTTCTCCCAGCCGTGGGTTCACAGGAGGGGTACTTGAGCACAAGAATGCCCAAAATGTGAAGTCGGTCATAGAGCTACACAGGAGAATCTTTCAGGGCCCCTTGCCATATCCTGAAATGGTAGAGACTTTTATAATTTCTTACTTTTTTTGTCTTGATTCCCCTTTTCCACTGAGAGTTGGAAGTTACAAATAAAAGTATCCTAGAAATTACCTTCTATCAGCTTCAGGAGGAAAGGAAATGTATGTGTTTTTTTTTTTTTTTTTTTTTTTTTTTTTTTTTTGAGCACACTTCTCTCTTCCAGGCATTGAGTTAAAGTTTTCACAGGCACCATCTCACTGAGTCCTCACACAGCTCTGTGGAGTAGGTGACCTGTCACATAAAGCAGCTGGAATTCAGGGACTGAGTGGCTTCCCAAGGTCATGTAGTTTATGGTCAACTAAGTTAACATTCAAATAAAACAAAGCCTGCAAGCCACCAACTCACACTAGGGCTATTAAAATGTGATGAGATGCCTTCATTCAAGTGCAAACAAGAATTTATTTTTTCAAGAAAGCCAATCAAATTAATGCTTCATTGATAACACTATGAGGGACATAGTCTTCGTTTCTCTTCCAGGTTTATCAATTGATTAGCAACGAAAATAAATAAAAAATTAAGTTGCAAGCACTGCTGTCCTTACACTTCATATGTTTTGTTTATTTTGTGTACAATTTAACACTTTTTACTTCATTCAAATAAGATGCAAGGTCACTACAAACAAACAAAAAAAAAAGACCAGAGAACCATCGATAGCTTAAAGCTACAATTTGAAATTACAATTATTTATAATGGCTGTGCATACAAATAATTTTCAGAGAACAGCAGATACATGAATTGATTTTTCAGTCTTATCCATTTTCCAGGGAGCCTGCTGTTGTGCAGGTGTTAAATAGAAGATCCCTTATATTGAATTACTAAAAGAAACTATTGGTTTGGCTTATGTTGGGGTCATAAGCAGACTATTTCTGAAATCTTATATGAAAATGATTTCATAGTTTGAGAAAAATCAATTCACATCTCGGCCATTCTCTGAAAATGGCAGTATAGAGTTAGGCAAGCTACTTAATACTGTCATACATTCTGTCTTCAGAGGGAAGCATTTCAACTCTTTCTTTGGATTCACTGTTAGTTGCAAAAGTGAAGAAACATACACCAACAATCATGTGGAGTTTGATGAAACTTTACCCAATTCTCATTTGGCAGCGTTGTTAAATGAAATTAATAAATTATTCTTTCCTTGGAATGAAAGAAAATGTAAGAAAAAATTATCCAGCCAATTGCTATCCCTTCGTAGTTATGAGCAACATGAAACTTCAACTCAGCGAAAAGGTTTATGAAGATCATTCTTATGTCTGCAGAGCGTGAAGTGAGGGGGAGTGTGATTAGAGCAGATGAGGAGAGATCAAAGGACTACCACCCATAATCTTCATCCCTGATGGATAATTTGCTCTTGTTTCTATAGAACAATCTAAGCCTTATACAATAATTATCACAGGCTGGAAATGAGCAATTCTTTCACTCAAAACTCAATCACGGCAATCACTTATAAGGCCAAGCAATAAAGAGTAAAATGAGTTATGCATGTGAAGGAAGCTAAAGATTTGATATGCAGAAAGGATGTTTTTCATTGCAAAGTTGGTAATCATGTCCACCAATGCCAGTTCAGAGAAAACCACTTAGCCTCATCAAATAGATGAATAGCAAACTTGCAGAAAAATTAATAAATATAAAATGAAATGTCATTCTGCACTTTTTCGGGATGATCACTCTCTCAAATTGAAGCTATTCATTGTCTCTTAAGAAATATAAAAAGGAAATTAAAAGTTTAAGTACAGAACATAATGCTTGTTTAAAAATTAAATACATTTTGCCTGAGTTGTTCTGCTTTTTCTTTATTCCAACTTCACACTGACCTCTGGGTTGAATCTTCAGAATCTTTATTAACCAAGACATTATAAACCCCTGAAGCTTAGGTGATTTGCACCACAAAACTGAAATGAGATTCATTTTCCAAACTCTTTTTTAAAAGCATCAATCATAAGAAGGGTTGAATCATTTGGCTGGAAGGAACTCTAGAGCAGGAAGCAGAAGGTGAAAGAAACAAGCAAAGACCAGCAAAATAGTTGCTGCTTTTAGAACTTGAAAAATAGCAATCACCAGCTACATGACTTGTATAAAAATAAACCCTCAGAGGATAGTGTCAAGGTTGAAAAATTCTAAATTGAACCATTCTCTCTCTTGATGCCTATTTTCAAATTCACATAATTTTTCATGTGTGCCCTCAGTGGGGATCAGAATCAGGGTGCTGTCAAGAAAGGTTAGTAGAATCCCAAGTATTTTTGTCACAACAAACTCTCATGTGGCAAAGCCCACGTGTAGCCGGCATGTGTTTCAGCCCTGGCCTTCCAAGTAAAAAGAGGTAGTTCTACTTGTGACCAGACGTGAATAATGTTTGCATATCGGGCCTGAAAGCAAAGGTGCCAACTCACTCAAAATCTGTCACTCCTCCCTGATTCAGAATTATCTGGGGCCTACTAGGTATTCAGTAAGTTAAGAATACTAAAAGCTCTGTTCGAAACTAGAAAAGTAGATAGATAGGTCTTCTGTTAGCATCACCTAGAAGATCTATGCTTATACCTCTTTCACACAACCTTGACAGGCAGATTAGAAATACAACATTAGGCCAGCAGTATCTCAGGTTGCTACCAGAGATGGATTTTAAATTCTTCTTGTACAATGCTCTCATTCGATTGATGAGAAACTAAGTCCCAAAGAGCGAGCATCTTTGCCAAGTGTGTCAGGCATTTTTGTGCATTACTTCAAATTGTCTCATCCGGTTTATTACTGCAGCCTCTTTGCACAGGCTTAAAGCAGTTTCACGTGGCACAACCAAAACATGCTTCCTTCACATTGGGGCCACGCATGGACTTCTTGCTGCCTGTGCTGGGTCTTCCCTGATGCCCTGGCAAGTGAAGTCCATGCTAATTTGCTTGGCACTCGTGTATGTGCCACCCGGAAGTGGGGCCCTGTGTGGGCAACAGGGAATGCAAACCAAGCAGCCAATCCTCCCACATTTTGTCTTCCAGGTAGATAGTACTGAAACTCATTTCAGAAAGTCCCACGGATCATGCACGTGTTACTTGCAATGGTGGTTGACTTGAGAACACTTTTCTTGGGGTGACTTTCCATACTCCTCTGCTTCAAATGCGTTAATAAGATGAGTTGTGCTGCATTCC